CCCCAAACCCACTGGCCAGCACATTGTGGGATGCTCCAGTTGCAATGAGGCCAATAACGCCTGCCCTGTGCAGGGTGCCAGGAGCAGAGCCAGCCACCCAGGCGGCTCCTTCCCACGCAGGCATGGTCAGAGCAGAGCAGAGCAGCGTGAGCTGCTTTGCACCTGGTCCTCGCCATGGGGCACAGGAGTACCAACCACTGCTGCTGGGCCGGAGCAGAAAAGCAGGGAGAGCCCAGAGCAGGAGACGGAGGAGAGTAGCAGGGCACAGAGGTGCGTAGCGCCGCAATGCCCAGCTGCCTGTTTGCAGCAGCGCCATGGCAGTGGGCCCCTCAGACCTGGTGCAGGTGGACTGACTGAGGATTTTGGATGGCTACAACCCTACTCAAACTTGCAGGCACTGCTTGACCTGCTGACATATCTGTGCCGCACAAGCACGAACATTTTTGCCTATCGACGCATCCCACAGGGCTGACCGTCTCCATCCGCACAAGCGTCTCCAACACCCACCTTGACTCCACAGCACTAATAAGAGTAGCCAGAACTCTCTTTCCTGAGACTGCAACTCCACTTCCAGCTCTGACTTGTGGTTCAACCCTAGCGAGGAACACACGGCACAAGGGATGCAGGAGGCAGCACCCCAGCCCATGCCACTTGCCCACCCCAAGTCCTGTGATGCTCAGACCCATCATGAAGCAGTGACTCCCAGAGACACAGCAGGGTCTCAAATCCATCGAGAAACCTCAGTGCTTCCGTTTCCTCTTCATATGCACCAGGCAGGCGATTCACTTCCATCCCGAGCGCCAGTGCCCACTAGAATAAATATTTCCATAGGTACCAGCTCGCCCACTCACCAAAGGGAAGGGTGTAGAGGGGGGGATTCAGTGTGTGTCCGACGGGGGAGAAGACAGAGTCTGCCTCGATTACGGCAGGAACGTCAAGCAGAACAATTAACACCATTCAACTGATGTCTAAAGGAGTCTCCAGCGCTTCCTCATGTGAGCCAGTCACATGTCTCGTACAGCCCAGGCATCCCAGCGCATCACGTCCTGCAGAGAACCAAAGGCAAAAAGTCAGCTCCGACATCCAGCAGCCCCCATGAGCCCCAGGGCTGCGACCGGGGCAATCGGCAGGAGGTCAGAGGGGAAAGCCAGCACCTGCTGCTTGGGGACGTGCTCACTGGGGGCTCCAGAGGTGACTGGGGGGGACATGAGGAGCGAGCGGAGGGGGTGAGCCCAGCCTCTGCTCTCAGGGCTGCTCTTCCGCCTCAAGATGGCCCTGTACCACCCCATGTTAGGCCACGCATGCCTATCCAACCGCTTCTGCCCTGACAGAGCCTGTGCCCTCATCCTGGCCATGGGGAGTGGAGATGTGTGGTTGCCCAACAGGCTAAGCAGGGTGGAAGCCTGCCCATGCCGGTACTGCAGGAGAGCCTTACCATTCTCACCTCCTGGGAGGTGGGTATAGGGAGGGAGCGGAGCCCTGCTGGCTGGCAACGATGGCGGTGGAGGAGAGACCTGCGGAGAGAAGCAGCATCAGGAGCTGGCAGCAGGAGACAGGCACTGAGTTCAGCCTGGCAACCGTCCTGGCTGGGACCACAGCACCCGCACATCTGGATCACACCTGTCCCAAGCTCCAAGCCGGCAGAGCTGAAAGGCACTGGATATGGCCAAAGTAGTGCCCAGCGCAGGGGCTCATGCTGCCCAAAGAGGCTACAAAACCCTGCGAACACCCTCCCGAGTCCTGGTGGCTCAGCTCAGCCCTGCTTGGGGCCCTCTCAGAAGCAGCCATGCTCCAGGAGCCCCTCTGGCTGTGCGTTCTGTCCCCAGCATCCAGTCCCCAGTCAAGGGCAAGATTTGGCTCTCACCTGTTGCATAGGGCAGGTTGTACTGCGCTGGCAGCAGCGAGTACCCGAGGTGGTGGTGGTGGTGATGCGTCGAGAGCAGGCGTTGAGATGGCGAGGTCCGGGGCCGGTCTGCACTCCTTTCCCCACCTCCTGCTCCGCCAACACTGCTACAGCTCCCGCCGCCCCCCACCACCCCGCAGCCACTGCGGTCCCTCTCCTGAGACGTCTTCTCGCTTATCTAGGGAGGAGAAAACAGGTGCACATTGAGCGAAGCTGGTGGCCTCAAAGCAGCTTGCAGGGAGAGGGGCTGGCTCTGTCCCAGCTACCCAGTGGGGTGGCTTGGCATGGGCACCCCAGGGTGCAGGGCCCTCAGAACAGCCAGTCCAGCCAGCAGAGCCCACCAGCTGTCTGATCCACGCAGGCCCTTGAGGCTGCCCCATGGCACCATTGTCTACAGGCTCCCCGTGACACTGCTGACACAGCACAGAGATGACAGGATGGCTGGTGACCATCCCAAAAGTGAACAGAAGGGTGCAAACCTGTTTAGCAGGGTCCCATTCAGGGCAGCTCCTTCCTGTCCAAAAGCAGATGTCAGAGCTCCTTCTCTCAGCTTGGTCTAAAAGGAGCTTGCAACCCTATGTTGCCCTGGGATGGATCCAGGCCCTGTGTCCTGGCCTCCCACCCATCAGCAGACAAGCTCCAGGGACGAGGACAAGTGTTGCCTAGTCCCTGCAGGGCCTAGAGGAGTCTCAGGGCTTCTCTGGGCGGTATTTGGAAAGTCATGGAGCTGGGAAGCTACGCAGGACAGAAAATCAGGAGCATGTAGGAAGTTAAACAACAAACTAGGCAGAGTTGCTCTGGGCTGGCCATAGGACCCAAGGACCTTCCTGAAGCCAGTGCATGGAGCTGGCCTGACCCTCACCGTAGGCGATTTGCTCTTGTAGTGGCTGGCGTGCTGCTGCAGGATGTCCAGGGCCTTAGACTCCGAGCTGGATTTACAGCTCACACTGGGACTGGCTCGGGACTTGTCGCTGTCATCGCTCCCGGACGCCTTGCTCCCATACGGGGAGAAGGAGTAGCTGGAGGGGAGGTACGATCCTGGTCGGGGGGAAAGATGGCAGTCAGAGCAAGAGGAGCAAGCAGATTTGTCACCCACTGCTGCTTCGGGCTGCACAACAGGAGCACACAGCTCTGCCACCCCATGGGGAGGTGGCAAAGGCGTGCCCCCCCAGCCACATAAGCCAGCAGACAACAAGTCACAGACACAACCCAGTAATGAAAGTCACTCTCCCTTTGGGACCCTCTGGTCCCTTTGGGACCAACGGCACAAAGTCCGTGGCAGCAGCTCCCCTGCCCAGCCCCAAGCCACGAAGACGATGGTAGCTCTGGCCCACAGCCATCCCCCACTCCAGGAGGATGGGCAGGGCACAGGCACAGCCTAGGAAGGGACATTCCCGGGCTAGACAGCAGTTCTTGAGAAGGCCGTGGCTCTCCTACCTGGGTAATTCTGCATCATGACCGTGGGCATGGCCCGGTAGCTGGGGTGGTTGGGGTCATACGACTGGCTGTAGGAGTAGCCGTGCATGTAGGGGATGTAGGACTGGTGCTGCGTGAGGGGTGAAGATACGGGGACATGGACACTCGGCCTGGGGTCCTTCCCCACCATGCGAGCCTCCTCGGTGGGGGTCAGTTTGCACTCAGAGCTGGCGCTCTCCTTCCCGTCTTCCTTGGACACAGCTTCTTTGCTTCGACTTCTTTCTTCCTTCAACTTCCGATCCCTCTCCTCTTTCCACCGCTCATCCTCCGTCTTGATGTCCGAGTACTTTGCAGGGTAAACATAGGTCCACATCCGGGGCTCTGCTTCCTGCAAGAACCAGTGAACTGTCAGAGCAGTTGCCTCCCCCCAACCCCACATGCCCCAAAAACCCAGAACTAGAACTTGGAAGAGACCAGTGCAGCCCCCTCCCCCTTCCCAGGGCACCAGGCTCTCCTTGTTCTCCTGGAGCAGCCCATCATCCCCAGTCCTTCGCAGCCCCATCGCTCCCGGCCCAACTGGCAACCTCATGGGGTCACATCCTGACAGGAATGAACCCCCCAGCATGGGGCTTCCTACAAGACGTGACAGGAGAGGGCCCAGCACCTGGGCTGGCGGGCAGTGTGCGGGCATTACCTGTCTGTACCAGAGGACAGGGTCCACCTCTGCTTGCCGGCCACACTCAGAGCCAGTCTTCGTCTCGGTGCTCTCTTTCCCAAGGTGACTGGCCTCACTCAGCTTCACCTTAAGTCCCTCGGCTACCTGGCTGCCAGACAGCTTCGACGAGTCCTCCAGCTTGGGGATGATCACAGACTTAGCCATATCAGCACCTCCTTGCTCCTTGGCCTTGCTCAGCCCTGACTTGACAAGGTCCGTGAGGCTTGGGGCCTTGGTAAGCGTCGGGGGCATGGGTGGCTTTTGCTTCCACTCCTCTTTGAGAGCTGCCTCCCTCTCCTTCAGGCCCAGCTCCGCCTTCTTCTCCAGTCCTCGCTGCTGCTGCTGCTCCAGGCTCTGTCGCTGCTTCTGTTGCTCCTCATACTGCTGGCGGTAGGCAGGGTTGGTGCTCAGCAGGTGAGCATGGTAGCCTTGCTCATTGTAGCCATAGGGGGGCACGTAGGCGTATTGGTTGTAGTAGAGGGACTGCATGTACATGTTGGGACGCTGCTGGATGACCGAGGGCTGCTGGCTGGAGCTGCCAAGCTCTGCCTTCTTCTCTTCACAGCCCTCGCTCTTCACTTTCACCTCCGGGCTCTCTTGCTCCTCGTCTTTCTTTAGCTTCAAGGCCTGCGTCTCGGCCGCAGCCTGGCTGCCAGGGTTCAAGGGCCCCGGGCTTGCCTGGGGGTAGCCAGGGGAATAGTAGGTTTCAAAGCCTTGGTAGTAAGGGGACTCTTTGCTCTGGGATTGTGGGGGGAAGAGAGCTTTCTTTGCACCTTCCTTGACCAGCTGCTCAGGATCCTTTGCCTTCATACTTTCCAGCTTGCCCTCCCCATCCTCACCTGCGTCAGAGATGTCCGAGTAGGCTGGGCTGTTGGTTTTCACCGAGCTCGCTTCTGCTCCGTTCTGGGTCACGACGTGCAGTGGGGTCATGGGCTGGGTTGGGTTGGTGTTTTCCAGCCTGCTGGCACCACCGATGGAGGGGCTCGGAGCGTTGTCTGTGAAGCTGTAGATTTTATCCGCCTCAGCCTTGATGCTGGCGAGCCGGCTCTGGTGAGGGTCAGATGAACCGTTCAGCAGTCCCTCGCCTTTTGTCCCAAGGTCGCTGGATTCCCCCCGGAAAGGGCTCTTGCCTTCTTCCGCTCTGCAGACTTTCCCAGGAGTCAGAGGGTTTTCTACTTCCTTGGGCTCCTTCTTCTTCTTGTCCTTTTTCTTTTTCTCCTTGGAAGGGGTCAGGGCAGGGTTGACTGTGAAGGGCTCTCCCATCACTGTAGGCTTTGGCTGAATGGGCTTGAGCTGAGGGCTATTGGGCATGGTCTGGACCACAGTGGTGGTGAGGCCTGTGGAAGAACCAGGGCTGGCTGCAGTGAAGGTGGCTGTCTGGAAGGTGTAAATTGGCTGTGGGGGGATGGCTGGGGCAATGGGTCTGGCAGACTTCAAGCTTTTGGAAGAGATCTTCTCCGGCTTAGCAGCAGATGCCTTCTTGGACTTGTCCTTATCAACGCACCTCTTCTCCAGTGAGTCAAAGCCGTCGTTACTCGTCTCATCGGCCACCGAGGGACCATCCTCAGAGCCGTCGTTGGACAGGGCACCGGGGTCAGTGTCTCCTTCCCCACCCAGCTTCTTCTTGCAAGGGACCTTGGTGCTGAACTTACTAGATGGGGAGGGACTGTGGGGCTCCATCAAGCGGACCTTTGGGGTGGCTGAGCGAGCTGGCGAGAGCGAGCCCTTCTGAGAGACGGCAGCACCATTGCAGCTCCCAATGTCCGAGTGCAAGGAGGGCTCCTCGCCGTACTCGCTGTCCACGTCCGCCTCCAGCTTGCTGTCATCATCTGTGTGTGCGTGGGCCTGGTGGTACTTGAGCCCATTGATGTGCTTGTACTTCTTGTTACAGTTTGGGTGGGGACAGTCAATGAGGATGGGAGAGGGGCAATTTCGATCCAGGACAGCTGGCTCCACCTTGACCGTGGCTGGGGGCACCGCTGCCGAGCCCATCGAATTAGTGCGGATGCGTTTGCTGCCCTTCGAGTCCTCCGAGCTGGAGTTCAGCTCCATATCTGAGAGGGGCTTACTTTTCCGCTTGGTCACGGAGGAGGGGCTGGCCTTTACGTCCTCTGTGGTGCCGCTGGGTGGCGTGCGGTGGTCTGAGGAGTTCTGGCTTCCCCGGCGCCCTTTGCTGTTGGCTCCCGCCCGGGTCTTGCTGCTGTTGCTGGTCCCTTTGCTGTCTGAAGCCGTGGCGGTCTCGTTCACAGGCGTGTTGCTGTTGGGGCGCATGCGCTTGCCCCTGCCCCGGCCGTTGCGCATCTCGAGGTCGCTGGTAGGAGAGTCGCAGAACCTGCAGAGAACAAGGAGCTTGTCCAGCGATGGCTGGGCCAAGCTACACCATCCCCACTGCTCGGAGGGGACCCCTTCTTCCCCGGGATGGTCTGAGCTCTGCAGGGAGCTGTGAACGGGGCTAAGCGCTGCCAGTCCTGAGAATTGGCCCCCGTCACCCCCAGGACTACCAAAGAAAGCGTTAAGAGAGCTCAGACAGCAAATGCCCAGCTAGCTTCAGTCCCCAGGGAAAAGGAGCCTGAGATCAGAGGAGTAAAGAGCTGCGGGTGCAGCAAGGAGATGTCAGGAACGGGGGTTGGCAGCAGGCACATGGCAGCAGCCCTGGGCTGGGCACATGGCAATGGTACAGCGCAAGCTCTGCTTTAGCAACTTGGCAGGGCGCCGTGGACAAGCACGAGCTGGCTGGAGGAGACACTGCCTGCCACGGCAGCTCCAAGGGCAATGGGTAGAGCGTGCTGGGTGACGCGAGGCCAGAACGCAGCTGGGTTTCCCCTCTGCATCTAGGCAAAGCAGGGAATGATGTGGGCACAACCCAACCGAGCAGGGTGCTTGTCGGCTGAGGGAGCATGAGGTCCTGCCAGGCCCCTCCATGCACTTACCGGGGAGGTGCCCAGTCGTGCTGCGTACAGTCAAGCAGCGTCCCCACGTATGTCTTGTTCCTCCAGGTCACGTTGACTACCAGCATACCTGTAAGGCAAGGAGACAGGGTCACACGCGGCCAGGCAGGCCTCCCCACGGCTCCATGGGTGTCTTGCCCTTCCATGGGCATCAGGCTACAGGAAAAGGGGGCTCTCCCCCTTCGAGACGGACAGGAGGAACAACAGCACGCACAGAGATGGGCTCAGCTCTAGGGTCAGAGAGAAACAGAGAAGGAGGCTGGGCCTTGGGCAAGCCTCTCCACAATGCGGGGAGTGATTTGTTTAGTGTAATGTGGAGATAAAGGACACCAATCACTGCCTTAAACAATTCCTCTCCTGCAAGTGAGGATGCGGACACGTTCAGGCATCCTCACACCTGATGGGATGACCTTGTCCTGGGTCTCCAGAAGCCCTGGAGGGCCACGTGGCATTGCCAGCTCTCACCACATCTCAGCAGATATGTGAGAGACTAGGCTCCAGGCTGGAGCAGCGCGGACAATGGGAAACCACCCTGCTCGTCCCCTCTCTTGGCAGGGCTCTGCCTAGTGCCTGCTTAACCTCTGCTCCTTGAGCTGCTCAGCATTTTGCTTGCCTGCGTTTTCACAGAGATGCTAAAAACCATGAGCCCCAAGGGGCTGCTTAATTTGAGGGGCCTGAAGAGCCACGTTGGCTGTATGTGACTCTCCCGG